TATAAAACTTGAAATAAAATATTAGTTAAATATTATAATAGAAAATTAATACAAATTACTATAAGTTCATGCTTGCGACTCGATGTGTAAGCGTCTGAAGGTGTCTTACCTGGAAGGGACAAGAGAGGAGGGGCTTGGCTCAGAGGAGGGCTACAATGACACTTTGTTGGGGACTAAAGATGTGTGAGCAATATGCTTGATAGGCGCAACATGCTTGATAGGAGCAACATGCTTGATGGGCATCGATGTTTTGCAGTGGTGATCGTCATAGTAGTGCTCATATGTGAGGAGCATGAAACTGGCTACTTCCTCAGGTAGGACAAGCTAGATAAAATCGGTCTTTGTGGTCGCTCACCCCTCACACCTGAAGTCATCTGTAACAAGAAATAAATTTATCAGAATAATGATAAACTATAAATAATATAAATATAAACAAAAAACAAGTAAAAAAAGAAAGCTGCATAATTAAGAAAAAAAAATACCATAAGTATAAATATAACACGAGAAAAGTAAAATTACAGAAGGTAAACACATAAGTCACAAAATAGATAATTGCGAATAATAAAATCTAGTACTATAAGAAATAAAAGCAAAAAGGAATTGAAATTTAAAAGTACATATTGATCTTAATCTGTTGCATCAGACGAGTGAGTCGATGATGAATTTAAAATTTTTTCATTTAGGTCTTTATTAGACTCATCCTTAACTTGAGTAACTTCTTCATATGCCCGATGATATCCTTCAAGATAATTTCTTGCTCAATAAAATCAAGGGAATACACACTTATGACAATTTTTGCTCTTGATAAGCATGTTAAATAATGCTTTGTACCTCAATAGTTCATTTAGGTGTAGTTTTTATAATCAATATCCAATCAAATTTATCTCTTGCTCTATCATGGTATCTATGGCAATATATCTTACTGCTTGATGTGCTAGAATAAATTGAACAAACTTCACTTATTTTTTGTTCATTTTAACTTCAGTGATATCATATATATTTGTTGTTCTTATTCCTTGCTTAGGATCCTGATTAAATCACACATAATTGAATAAAAATACATTGCGCTCAACACAACCAAGATATCACAATTGCACCATTTCTTGAAGAAAATCATAGTAGTTGTCCTCAATGTCAGAGAGTGTTTCTTTTAACACAAACCCCAAAATTGTATTTGTTCCTTCAGATCAACAAATCATGTGAAATATATAATTATTCACATCAAATATTAGTCATGTAATAACATTGTGATTATGCTCAGAAACAAGATCTATTAAGCCCTGACTAGTAACTCTTTTGCTTCGATTATGAACCTATTATAGAATTCAATATATAATTATTTTTAATTTGAGCATTCGACTTACATACTAGTGAGTTGTGAGTTAATTGATAATACGTGTAATTTGAACCATTTTCAAAATTTTTCTTCAATCCTTTTGTTTATAATAAAGTCATCTTCAATGTTTAAATTACTGACAAATAACCCGCACACTTCATTTTAAGTTAAATAATTAGATTAGTACAACATTTTTAATAATAACTCGAATAAATACTAATTATTTCACCTTTTACTCAAAAAATAGTTAAATTTTGTCACAAAGAATAAGATCTCAAAAATCGTAGCTCGAAGCTCTTTATTATTGAGGTAGCGTTAAACATGTTTCTCTGATGTTTCAACTGAAATTTGAAATACAAATGATATAGACTACAAAGACGTCATACCTACAACTTGATCTATTGGTTGCTGCTAATCCAAATAAAAACTAATCATTTCTGCCACAACCCGACCTGATGCTTGAAATTAATCAAAATTAGAACAGACGGTTGGACGGTGAAATCAGATATCTGTTATTCTATTTCTATCACTAACAGTTAAATATTCAAAAAAATCCATGAAAGTTCCTATAAGGGAAACAAATTTAATTAACAATTAGAAATTTGTACCTTCTCAATTATTATTTTTGCCTTATTTACACATTTTTTTATCATCTATTCATCTTAATTAAAAGCTTAAACCTGAAAAAAAAAATTAAATCAACATGAGCTATCTAAAGATAAATCAGGAGTAATCATACTTCTAAACTACAATAACATAAGGGAAAGAATTTAATAAGCATGCTGGTCTTTCATATCTTTATAAAAAATTGTGATATATTATTGCAAATATCAATGATATTTTCTAAATGAAAATACTTTAAACTTCTATATGCATGTACTTTTATTGTAATTTTAGCATTACTTTTACTTATATTCTTTACATAAATATCTATCTGCTTTGAGGATTATCGGTAAAACAACCTAAAACATCCTTTATCGATATTGCTCTATCGACTTTCGTTGGCTCAACAGTTAGTGATATAAACATCAAAATTGTTTAGGATGGAAAGACCCTTACCTGCCCTAACCGATATTATCATGTCGGCATGCTGCTAGTGAGTCACATTTATCTGGGGTCGTAAGTTTTGTCTATTCTCCCCTGACCGATATTATTTTGTCGACACAACATTTAGTGAATTAACTATCACAATTTTCTGGGTGGTAGAAAAATCTTTACGCGCGCCAGTACACTGGTGTCCTCTGCTTGTACTATCAGGGGGTGAATTTCTCTGAACATGCACATAAAAAAATCCATGTATACCATATTTTCATTTCATCATTTAAAGTATACATTATTTTCATGTGAGACTTGTATTTATTTATTAAAAAATCATGCAAATCTACTAAAATCTGAGGTCATATGATAATTTAAACGATGCTTCTTTACTCAAGTTCTAAAGGTCAAATATATGTCAAGTCATAATCTAACATATACATCTAGACATCTTTATTAGAATATAATTATCATATAGTAATCTAATATCTTCATAAACTAATATATTATGAAACTATTAAGATAACAACATTTAACATGCATGTATCATGACTAATTATATGAATAATTTTATATGATTTAATTTCGTTGTGTAATTATTTAACATGCATATTTTCCTCTCTGAGAATATAAAGAATCTACTATAATCTGCATATCGCTAGAATATATCATAGATTAAGTTAAACATGCATAAAAATGATGAAAATTCGCAGAGAAGCTGCATGTATATATGGTGCTTTTTTAAATAAATTCGAGCATTTGAAGTGTGTCATTAATGAAAGGGCTGAACCAAGTTTTCCCACATGCATTTTTCTCTCTTCAGAATTTATTGTTTTTATTAGAAACTTGGATTGAAAGATTAACTACTCTTTACTTTAAGTTTTACCATCTTCCTCATGTTATTGTTATTGTTGTTATTTTTATTGATTATTTTCTTATTTTGTTAATATAACGCCCATAATTACTTCATATTGCCTGGTAAATTTTCTCGTGGTCATAGCGTCTCAGCAAAACAGACTTTTCTTGCCTTCTAATTAAAGAACCCAAAACATGGTTGAAGGGCTTTTGCTTTGGAAAGTAATAAACCACCTCTCATTTTCTAAAGTATCTGTTCACTATTATAAGATGATATGACTGTAAAAGCAAACTTAACTTCTTGCGTCACATTCTAACTCTTATTGAATAGCCGCCATGAATTGATTTCCTCTTAGTTTTAACTAGAACCTTGATCTCCATTTTAGTCAGCACTGATAGTCATTTTCTTTTTACTTCATATTCTTTGCAGTTATCCATCTATTTTTCTTCTAAAATTCATTTTTGAAACTAACTTCTAATGTAATTTGAGGAGAATAAGACTGACCTCAGTCACAGTTTCTGCACCAATAATCAACTTAGTAGCAATCGCCATACTAATCTTATTCTCCTCAAATTTTACCTTTCATCTATCTATTCTCCTCTATCTACTCCTTTTGTTAGCATTCCAAGACATAATAGCTTATAATCAAGCATTATAGGTTAGTTTTATTTTCCATTTATTTTCTTGCAAACAAATTATTTATTATTATTCTAATTGGTTTATTGTTGATTCTCCAAGGCTCTCCTTCCGAAATTCCCAAATTTAATGTAATAAATCTCATTTTAATTATAGATTTAACCAACCTGTCCTCTTTTGTCAATCACTTGTGGGTGACTTGTAGCTAACCTTTACTTGCTAGCTAGCGCAAATGCCTAACACTTACTGCTCAACACAGATAGGTGTTGCCCCAGTCATCCTTGTCCTCTTATCACTACAAGCGGGTTATGTCTTGGTGAACTCATATTTTATATTTTATAGTTTTGTAATAAATATATTTTATACGGCTGGCTGTTAACTTAGCATAACACCAAATTTTTTCGCTGAACTTGGAGCTGACAATGAAGGTTGTGAGTCTTCTCTTTTTTGGTTTTCTTGTCTCTTTCCCCTCTTCCTTTTCTTTGCTGGGGTTTAGATAAAACAATTAAAAAAAAAAAGGGCAAGGAACAATAGTTGGACATTTCTTATTGTCCATGAGTTTGAAGCTTCTGCAATGGTTACGATTATACTGCTTTTGCTGGAGTTAATGATTGTGGAGTATGGAACTATGAGAAGTGGAACAAAAAATATAGGGGAATTTACATTTACATGTCTAACACCCAAACATTCATATTTACATACATACCACTCAATTATTTAACATCACATCAAAAATAACATCATCACTACCTTTGTGAAAGTGCAATGCACGTTTTCATACAACTTACATGACACCAATGTGTTATAAGTGTAAATATCAAACTTTGGTTGTTAGATATGTAAATAGTATGCAACTCCCAAAAATATATTGAACTGTTTGGACTCTTTGGTAACAAACATACAAATATTTTGCTTCATTCCATTAGCTGCCTACCTTCTTGTGGGTATTTTTTGAACTAAGCCTGTTTAGCTCGTTAAACTTGTTCGATAATGCACCAACTAGGCGGTTAGTGGTATGAATTTCTTTTTAGTTGTCTACTTTGCTTTGTATTATTTGACAATTTCAAAATTATTGTATAGTTTTCCTTTTATTTTTTTTGTCTGATAGCACTTAAATGCTTTTTTTAATGTATGCAGAAGCTCATATTTCAAAAGCCACCTCCCAACGTACGAAAGATAGTTCTTGCAACAAACATGGCTGAAGCAAGTATTACGATTAATGATATTGTTTTTGTGGTTGACTGTGGTAAAGCAAAGGAGACCACATACGATGCCTTAAACAACACACCTTGCTTGCTGCCTGCCTGGATTTCTAAAGCTTCGGCGCGGCAAGTATTATATTTTTTGTCCAAATTTCATTTATCATTACTCATAAATTTTTTTTTGGTGCAGATTCAAGTAGTTTTTTATGATTAGGTGTTCTTCAACATTGTTCTCTCATTCATTTAGTTAATAGTGGATAGAATATTGTGATAATCCAGGTCCATAAATGATTAATTTATTGTTTAACAGTTATATTTGTGTCTGGACACTAACTCGTAAAGCTTTATTCTTGCCCATCGTTGGCTCTATGTTCATGCAAATCCGACCAATTAATACTAATTTGGTATAAGGGAATCTTTTGATTTTTAGTGGAAATTTGTAGATAAGATGACTGTATTTACTAAGCAATATCTCTATTGGTCTCGGGTTATCATTTTAGACCATTGTTCTAATAGATTTATTCTTTTATTTGTTTTTACAGTCCAGAGAACTATGAAAGTAACGTGTTGTGTTTACAATTAGAACCTTTTCTGTTGGTCTTTCAATTTTAAATGAATAGCTAGGGTCGCTGCTACTACAAATTCACAAGCAATCAAACCTTATGTCATAAAATCATTTTCTTTTATTGTATAGCTTATACTCTGCAGTATATGATCGTTCTGAAAATACGATTCATATATCAGATTTTATGCAAATAGCTTGTTTGATTCTTGGTTAGATAGTCTTGTGATGCTGTAAATTTAAACATTTGAATGATACCCTGAAGATCCTCAAGTGTGGTAGACTGTTTTACTTCGTTCATAACTTGACACGCCCTACTGGAAAGTTCTGGAATAACCGGGAATGACACATACCTGTTATTTTTAGACTCATCGCTCTCTTTTCTTTATGTGCCAAGAACAGAAAATTCGAACTTCCTAACATTTATTATGGTTTGATAAAAAGATGGTGCCTTAATTGTTTGATGTTACGGTGGCAAAAAGAATTTATTATTTGAGATTTTGATTATATTTTAATGACATTTATTATATTTTCCTTTTTGTTCTTTTTGTGCATGAGTTTATGTCTGAGTGAACATTTTTTTTTTTTTTGCTTGTTGGCTTTGCAGAGAAGAGGACGAGCTGGTCGTGTTCAACCTGGAGAGTGCTATCATCTCTATCCTAAATGTGTTTATGATGCCTTTGCAGATTACCAGCTTCCTGAACTTCTGAGAACTCCTCTAAACTCCTTATGCCTGCAAATAAAAAGTTTGCAGCTTGGTTCCATTGTGCAGTTCTTGTCTGCTTCAATGCAGCCTCCAGAGCCATTGGCTGTGAGTTATTGAAGTGGTTTACTCATCAACGTTACTTTATCACGACCACTTTTGTCTTGTTTATTATTCTTCATCATTTGTTCATTCATTTATATTCAATATTTACTTTAACATTGGTTTAATTTAATTCTGCTCTATAAGTATGTTATGTTCCATGCAAGTGTACTGTCAGAGGAACTCATTCGGTGCACAGCATTAGATTAAAAAATTAATTGGTGGCAACCAATCTAGGTTACTTAAAGGTTTTTCATCTTTACGTCTCTTTATTTTTCCCACCTCGAAATTGTTTCCACCTCGAAATTGTTTCAAGCATGGATTTAAAGATGCTTCTAACCTATCTAAAATTTGGAACAGTTTCCATCAAGGGTTGTCTGCATACTATGATTTTTTTTTTTTATGGATGCTACAACGCTTTATAACGAAGCAATTGAAAGATAATGATGGGTAGAAACGGTTTTGTAGGCTGGATAATGTGATTCAAAGCATCATTGGAAATTTAAGATTTGGTTTTACAGGATATGATATAATGAGATTTACAAAGAATTTCTGTGAACAAGCAAGGAGTTAAAATAATCTCTTTCGGGGTAAAGTGTTGTTGTGTGGAGCCCTGTTCAAAAAAAAAAAAAAAAAAAAAAAAAACAATAAAAACCTGCTAATCCCACGATCTCCCAGTTGCCCCCGCTCAAGTTCCGCGTCTCCGTTCCCTTGGCTGTTTTCTTCGCCATTCCGCAACGCCGTTCTCTTTGCCGTTCCGGTCGCTTCTCGTCGCCGTTCCAGTAGGCGTTCGCAGGACTGAAACCGCGAACGACTTAGGCTTCTTGCGGCAACAAGAGGGAGGCATCCCTTGGACTACTTCGGTGGTTCTGCTCACGGGAAGAAGAGATACGGGAAGAAAATCGCACGGCTTTGCTCCTTTGTTTATTCAGTGGTATTGATCGTGAAGTTGGTGACGAGGAAGAAGCTACAGGCGGTCTGCTTCTTCCTGGCTTACGACAAAGAAGGTGAAAGGCTTTTCCTTTGTGCTGTTTCGGTGACCGAACGCAAGGCTTTTCTCTCCATTATTTTTGGGTGTTTTTCTCTTGTAGTTCTCGGGTGGAGAGATGGAGAAAGACAAGGAGAGTGAATGTGAGGAGATATTTCTCTTGTAATTGTTGAAGCGATTGACCGATGTAAATTTATCAATTAGAAAAATCCTCTGCAATTCCGTGGATGCAGGAAAAAATTTGCCGAACCACGTAAATCTGTGCGTTTTTTCTAGTGTGAATTTTCTCGTTCTATTTTTTACTTTTTCGTCGATCGTTTTAAATTTCATATATACCACTACTGGTATCAGAGCCAATAGCTGCAGATGAAGTAAAGATTTCACGGATCGAGAAATTTGATGGTACAAATTTTGGTTATTGGAGGATGCAGATAGAAGACTACCTCTTTTGGAAGAAACTTCATCTTCCGTTATTAGGGAAAAGACCTGAAAGGATGGATGAAACTGAATGGAATCTGTTGGATCGACTGGTTCTGGGGGTTAATTGATTGACCCTATCGAGGTTCGTTGCACGCAAAGTCGTCAACGAGAAGACGTCTGCATATCATATGACAGCCTTGTCAGGTATGTATGAAAAACTATCAGTGAATAATAAAATATATCTGATGAAGAAGTTTGTCAGGTATGTATGAAAAACCATCAGTGAATAATAAAATATATCTGATGAAGAAGTTATTCAATTTGAAGATAACAGAAGGTACGTCTGTTGTACAATACCTGAATGATTTCAACACTATCACAAATCAATTATCGTCTGTGGAAATTGAATTTGATGATGAGATACGTGCACTGATCTTGTTGACTTCTTTGCCACTGCTTTTCACACTCTAACTAAACCCCCCTTTTAGGGTCAATCACAGTGCGACAGAGATGGACATTTCAATTAAATTAAGTTCTCCCCAGCACTCGACCTGACCTGCATAACTAGGACCTAGTGGATGTTGAACGAGTATAACTAAATTGTCGCAAACGTATATAATACATTTCATTTCATTATTCATTCACATTCATGATCTTAATTTACTAGAACTAAATGAAAATATGACACTAAATAGGACGCAATGGAGAAAAAGGATTCATGTAGCCGACCCCACGTAGTGGGATTAAGGCTTTGTTGTTGTTGTTGTTGTTGACTACACATTCAAATAAAAAAAGTAATAATAATATCATTTAATATAAAGATAATTAATTAATAGTATAATAGTTGTAAAATAGGGAAGTTCGCATATGGGGAAAAAAATTAAAATTGTAATGATTATAAATAAAATATGTGAAACTTTTGTAATCGTACCCATGCCTCATGCTATACCTAATTAACATTGTTAAATTTACCATGTGCATAATGCTTTAAATAAAATTCATTCTAAGCATAGAGCAAGGCTGTTTGATTAACATTTTTAAAAATCTTAAAAGCTTAGAGAATAAATGAAATTAGTAAATACAATTATTTCTGAATGAGAACTATCTTAGATGCCTCAAATTGTATTAAATTTCAATTTATTAAATAAGTTTATGATGAGTTTACATTAGCATTACAACTGTGATCTTTTTTTGAACATATTAAAACATAAAATAGTTAACAAGCAAATTTGGGCAAATACTATTTACTATTTAGGAAAACAAGGCTTGACAGTTGCTATTTGCTACTAAACATTAAGGGTGTGTTTGGGGTGGTGGTGCGTTGGAGGTGTGGTGCAGCACCGCAGTTTTTCTTGTTTTGCAAAACTGAGTTTTGCTTGCGTTTTCGAAAATTTGCAGCTGAAAGCTGTGTTTTCTCACCACGTCTTGGTACCTACAGTGGCTGCTAGAAAGCTGCGATTCGATCTTTTCAAAAAGATTTTTTTTGTTTGCGACAACCATCACAGCTTTTTGAACAACAACTTCTTCTTGAGCAGCTTCTTAGGTGCTTCTTCGAATAACTGCAGCTGCTTCTTCGAACAGTCGCAACTACCCCTAATAGACCCAAATACTTAAATGCACATGACAAACATCTTTTAGGTCATTTAAAGCATTTAAACAAAGCATTGCACTTCTAAGCATCTCATAAATTTATCATACTAAAATGATATTTTGGATAAATTTGAGAAAATTGCTTGTATAAGTAAGCAAAATTAGTTTGCAAATTACTAAAAGCCTAACCGTGACAACAACAAAAGGTGAATAAAATTAACCCCAACTAAAATATAGAGATAATCATAACATATGTGAACACAAACTCATTTTCATATAATCATCGATGTAAACATGTTATTAACAAAAAAAAATCATACTAATAGAAAATATTAAGATATTATTACCTATAAGTGGAAACTTAAAAAATAAATTTATATTTAAGAAATTAAACCTCATAGGAAGATCAAAGTGAAGAAGGGGAAGTCTCTTGTCGACGATGGAGAAGAAACTCGATAGAAACGCTTTGGCGAGTTGACGTTGTGAGGCTTCATCTAATGGGCTCGGGATTGGAGTTTGAGCTTGAAAGAGAGATGGAGTCAAAGCCGTGACAAGCGAATGGGCTTGGGATGATGCTTGATATGGAGACAAAGTGGAAGTTTTGATGCGGAAATAGTCTTGGACAATGCTCGACAGAGAAACAAAGTAGAGAATGAACCTTAACTCAAGCGATGGTTGTTGCGTGTCGAGTGTGGGTATATACTGCACAAGGGTATAATAGTAGGTTAAATATGTTAATGATATAATATATAGTTTAGTATAATTAGAAAAACAAGGTGCTGCCTCAAGCACCTTGAGGCGTTGCTCCTTGAGGTTTACACCTTATTGCTACTAGACATAAGCCTTGAAGTGTTCTGTCGGCACTAAAAAATTGGGGGAGTTGCCCGTAAGAAACTGTCGGTCACCGGAATCGAAATCCCGTCGCCCGCTTCGGAAGGACGCTTTAATTTACATATAAATTTAAGTTTGGAAAAGTATGAAATCAAAATGACACCATAATCTTCACAGTTTAAATGAAAGAGCGCTCTACCTCAAATCCTGTATCTATCCCGAGGGATAAACACAAAACTTGAGGATGAGACTCGATCAAATAAACTAAGA